TATTTTCGTGGTCAATACATGAGTAAAGCTGGAAAAATTAAAAAGATGAGTCAGGACCAATTGAAGTCACTTTGGAATGGGAAAACTAAATGATCATTGAGATTCATTCATTAGCTATCTAATTCACTCTCAAAAACCATCAAGCTGAGACTTCAGCAAAATTATACATTACTAGAATAATCAAATTTTGAGGTCATCTTCAAATGGTGAAATGTCATTATCAGTGCCAGCATCACATTCATGCATTCCTTCAAAAATATATCCAACAAAGTTTAAGCAGCTGCAAAGCTCCCAGTGGTAAATAATACTGTACCCTAAATACAGGGAGATTCATGGCTTGGAGGCTGTGCTATGAAGGACCACAGTTAATAGTGTCATGGAGGATATAGATTCCATTTCCCAGGACATTTGAACTTGGATATAAGAGAAGGCTGTAGAATGACACATAGGGTTCTGGATACTACCCATCAGAAAGCTCCATAAAAGGGGAATTGGGCCACTTCTGGATTGCTGATTTCTCCTGAGGATACTAACCCTCAGACCAAATGTTTGCTCTGCGAAACCAATCGAGAACCATTTCTGCAGGGATTTTCTGCATGTTGGAGAAGCATGGATGTTGGATGTAGCTTTTTTATTTCTTAGAGATGTTAGGAAGGATGAAAACCGAGCAGAAAAGATCCAAGACTATCTAAAGAGATACACTTTGATTCAGCTCTGCCTTTCACTGGCTACTGATCGAGTTGTTCAAACTCTCTGCACACCGGTTTTCTCAAGTGGGCATGGTAGACATAGTGGGACCTACTCCATGGGGCATCTGTGACTACCATGGGACGTAAGGTACTCAACACGGTGCCGGGGATATAACCTGCCCTGAAAACCTGATTTTTACACAGTCATCTCAATAGTAAGTAGCCATCTTGTTCCTTTTTGTTATAGATAGTAAGTTGAATTTCCTGACAGATGTACTGGTTTAAGGATCAAACATGCAGATGTCAACAGAGGTAGAAGGTAAACTGAATAAGCAAACAGAGAGGGTCTGAGAAAAACATTCTTTTTGTACTGGATTTCATTTTCATACTGGGAGAAGTAAACTGTTGCTCTACTAGAAGGAGAAGCAGTCTAAGGTAGCAATAAAAGAGTGTGGGCATTTGACCTCCAAGCCAGGTGCACAATAGGGAACAGAGGTGAGTCTGCCTAAGTGGGGGTATAATTGGGGTGATCCCTAGTCACCTCCAGCAAATTGGTCCATGGGGTTCCTTAATATAAGTGGCCATTTCTACTGAAGTGTCAAGAGAGCCAGAAATCCTGCATTTTAGATGAAATCTAAATACTGACCATGAATATACGTTGCAAAAAAAAAAATACTGAGTGAACCAACTGATGTGCAACTGACTTTTCATTTGGGGCAATGCCTTGTGTACCATTTCAGCTACCAGGTCCCTGGCACCCTCAGTCTAGTCCACTGGAAACCATTGGTATGCAGTTTTGGAAATCCCTGTGGTACATGTAGGGATCCTTTCTTAAATGGGTTGCTTTGATCTGCACCCAGCCAAGCCCTGGAGAAGACGGGCAGATGTTTGGTGTGGACATTCAGACCTGCCTTTTGGCACCCAACAGAGCCACCCTTAACCCTGGGGATCCTGGCCAGTGCTTTTCTACAGAAGGCTGGCAGGCGGCCTTTGAGAAGCTACATTTGAGGAGGGGAGCGGACTTGGATGCAGCCTCTTGAGGCCCCGCCATGGAGGCTTCTCTCTGAGCAGCTCCTGTGGGTGATGTGGAGGGACACCCCCATGTCTCTGGTCTCTGCTCCATTGCCTTGGTGTGCGGGGGCCTTGGGAGGCCGGGAGTGTGGGCTTTATCAGCTGTTCTCTTGCTGTAAGCCTCATTGTTTGGTTTAATGTCCTTGATCAAAATCTCTCAATTTGCAAGGCTTGGGGATGTACACAGACTGCCTGGGGACTTAAAACTGGGCTCATTGTGTCCGTCTTCCTGACAGTGCAGCCTCTGTCCCAGCCAGGTTATCCCTAGGGTCTTTTCCAGGTACTAGAGGGAGTCACAGAGACTAAGAGGCCATTTACATGTGATTTGCATACATTTATACAAGCCTGCATGAGCTCTGTGTGAGCAGAGATGATTTTCAAGGGCTGGACTCTTAATCCTTTTCCTTGAAGAGAGCTGCCCAATGAACAGAGTCCTTCTCTATTAGATGTCCGTCAGGAAGCAGGCCATCTGGGGCATCGGAGGCCAGAAGGAGAAAGAATCCTAGCTGAAAGGGAGTGAGTCCTTCAGGAAAAGCTCTCTATTCTATCAGTTCCTTTAGAGCAAAACTAAGTAAATATTTATGGAGCGCTGACTATTTGCTCAACACAGTTTTAGATGCTGGGAATTCACATCAGATGGCGATCCTGTTCACTTTGCCATTAATTTTAATGAAGGAGAATGTTTAGAAAAGCAATTCAGAACAAGCAGAGAAAGAGGAAAGATAAACCCAGAGAGTGTTAACAGCCATGCAGGAAACAAAACTGGGAATCGAGTTGGGGGTAGTAGCTCTAGAGGAGCGGAGGGCATCGCACTAAGGAGCCTGTCCTGGGTACACACTGCAGACCTCACTAACGTCAGGTTGGCTTTGTCAAGAGCTGGTCACGCAGTCGATAGACAGGTAGATAGAAGATAAACAGATGAGAGAGTGAGAGTGACAAGGAGATGATGGAGATGTATAGGTTATAAATTGATACATAGATGATAGAGATTAGATAGCTATGTACATACATACATAAAGGATAGGTAGATAGATCAACAGAATCTGTAGGCAGGTAGGTAGATTGGGTAATAGATTTCACGGCCCAAGAAAATGAGAGAGATAAGGGGGATGAGAGAAGCATAATTTCTAGTTGGTCTTAGATACCTCTGAGAAATCTCTTTCTTTGAGGAAATAAAAGACTGTTGGTACAACCTTCAGTCTTTTCGAGTGACATCAAAATTGATTGGTAGGTCCACACTCAATGAATAGTGTGTCCCAGCCTTGTGTGCAAAAGGAAATATTTAAGGGAGCTAATAAGGATGTATGCAGGTAACAGAATCATGCCTCAGGAGTGTCAAGAAGGTCTTGTGCCCCTTACCTGTGAAAGGCAGGGGCATAAGCAGGGTATAGAATGGGAAAGTGAAAGAGGATGAGGAGCAGTAAATGAATAGCTTAGTTATTCATTTCATATAGGTCCTTATAGATTACTTTCACCAACTCTAGATTTCTGCGAAGGATTAGAAAGAGAACAGTGAAATATGCCCGGGAGCTTGATTTGCAACCAGTTTGCTCTATTTTCTCTTAGATTCCAAATGACTTGAAATGCGGCTAGTGGTCCCCATGTCCTCAGAAATTGGGTATTTTCTTCTTTAGGAAGCAGTGGAATTTCAGTTGCTCAAATTGAAGCCATTTCCCACACTCATAAAACACATTTTCTGAAACATCCGGGATGATTTTTATTTTTATGTCACTAAAGAAATTCCTGTAAGTCAAGATGGGGTCCGTATAAGAGAGGAAGGTGTCATTCAAGGTTTCAGAAACCGTTGGGACAATCTATCTCAGAATTTCACGTCTCTTTTTGCAGATCTAAAATGGAACCAGGAGTTTCCCATTAGGAAGCCTCCTAAGTAATTCAAGGATGGCACTTGGAGAAACCCCATCGTAAAATCATCGTGGGGCTGTGACTTAAGAGCTACTTATTCAAGAGGGAACTGCAAGTTCTGAGAAACAAAGCATTCTTAGGAAGTTCTTTGGTCCACCCAGGGGGCCTGTCTGTTCAGATACTGGGCCTGACTTCCTTAGTGGATCTGTCAACTATGGCCACCTCTCAGCCACTCTTACAGGCTCTTTGCTTAGGTCAGAAGATGGGATGTGAACCTCTCCCTTCCGGAGAGAACTCAGAGCTCTCCTAAATACCTTCCCTCATATCCCAACTTTCGGCATGGCTTCTGATTAAAAAAAGAACCTCTGATGTTTGACCCTCTGTCCCAGGACACAAGGTTTTCTGTGACAGACGGCACACCTGATCTGTCCTTATATTCAGGTATTCTTTATAATAGGTGTCTTCATAGACATACCAGCCCTAGCAGGATTACCTAAACCCCAAACAACCAGCACCTCCAAACCCTGAAACGTGACCATTCTATGGAAGCTCTTCCCTAAATCCTGGGGTGTGGAATGTGGGCAGCTTCTCAATTTCCAAATATTCTTGTACATGCTTTCCTTGAGTCAGAGTTTTAAAAGGCCAGAATTCTTTTTTTTTTTTTTTTTTTTTTTTTTTTTTTTTCAGAAAAGCTCTATCCAGAACATTTGGAGAATTACAGGATTCTGTTCATTTTATATACAGGTTATTTGAAAGTTACCTTAGATGTCATGCATTGATTAAGAATTTTTATGGTTCCTGAATGCACTGAAATGTATTCCACATTTAATCTCTAGTGGATAAACGTCATTTTCTTTGGGATTTAAAAAGCACTTCAGAATACTATAGACTGTCCCGGTCATAATCAGGGATGACAATTATCAGAATATGTTGCCTCAAGGAATTCTGTTTATGCGAGTTTTCAAATTTTTGTGAACTTAATGCTAAAGGACATGCGATGGATTATCTAGCAGTGATCCATGAATGAAGACAAAAAAACCTGAAATGATTATTGTGGCTCTAGAAAATATTGATATAGGAGAAAATTAATTACCACTTCATTTTCAAAAGGTTCACCTGTAGCTGGTCAGCAGTTTTCATACTATGACCTTGTGTGGACAGAAAATCAAAGGGCATAAATCTATTTTTTTCATGTATATTTTTCAAATAATTTTCATGCATACCCAATATATATACTGTGTGTGTATATATATATATATATAGTATCCTCTAAATTTTAAAATAAAAAAATACACCAACCCAGTTGATTTGCAGTTAACTTGCAAGGATGTAAGTTTTTGAATGAAATATAATAACATTTTTTATATTTGTTTGAAGGCTGGAAATTGAATCCAGTCGTGGGTGCAGTCTACAGTCCCGAATTCTATGCAGGTACGAGTTTCGTTGCATGGCTTCTTGATCTTCCCAAATATGTTTTGCATGCCAATAGGAATAATGTTCATAAGACAATCAGACCCAAGCAAATCCCTATCCTAAGAAGTTCTGAATGATTTTCTTGTTTTTGAACCACCAGAAGTGTCTAAAACCTTTTTAAAAATAAAGGAGAATCATGTAAGTTACACTGTAGAGTGAGCATAAAGCCATTGCTCCTTTGGGTATTTTACATTGATTTTTTTCCTCCAAACAATGTTGAGATTTTGTTCAAGGGCCTATGGAACCCATATAGGGCTGTTCACGCCCATTTTGTTTCAATATGCCAGGGTGTGTTTTTCAACCATGCATTTCCATTTGGGGATGGCTTTTTTTTTTTTCCTGGCAAAGTAAAGTCTGGCTCACTCATTCCAATAATGTGGCAGTGAGCTGAAATTGCCAAGAGAAGGAATATTTAGAAAACTGGAAAAAACTTAAGTCGTCTTTCTTTCTCCATCCTTCAGTGTCCCTTAGCGATTCCATTTCTACCTGCTTTGCCTTCACGAATGCTCTCCCCCCTCACCCCTTCCTAGTAGGCCCCAACCACCACTCTCTAGGGAAATGCAGTCTGGTAGAAAACTTGGCCCTCACGTTTCGCGAGAGGGCATACAGAAGGGCAGTGGCTGAGGCTTTTGCTTGGCTTGATCTGTCGCTTCTGTCGGTATTTTATCTTCTTGCTCGTTAATCTCATACCTGAGAACCTTCGTACATTGGCCACATGGACACTGAAAAGAAGCCTCTCTTTGACGTGGCCCTGGCTTTTTAGCAAGAAGAAATAAATGACCAAATGGTCATTCACTGACTGATCTCTTGACAGGAAGTCCCACCCCCTGTCTCTTTTGAGAAGCCTTATTTCTGTCAGTTTCCTGATAATAAGCATCACCCCTACTGGATGACAGGGAACACAGGAAACTTAGCTACTCTGACACAATACCCAACTCGATTAAAACAAGAAAAAAAAGAAAAAGGTCAATCTGGGAAGGTCCAACACGATGGCTGAGTTCTGCATTTTTGGTAGGCAATGTTTGCAGCTGTTCATGTGTGAATTTTACCACAAGCCTGGGTTAAATGCAGAGACCCTATGACTTTGAAGTAGCTGTGTTGATCTGTTGGAGGAAGAGAGACTTAGCTGGAAGGCTTTCCATGGTTATATGGTGGAGCCCACCTCCTAAGAGGACACACAGCAAAGTAAGGAATGTGGACACTGCACTCAGACAGCCCAGGTTCAAATCCTGGGTCCCCTACTTGCCAGCTGTGTGACTTCAGGCAAGTTAGTTAACCTCTCTGTGCCTCAGTGTCTTCATCTGTTAAATGGGAGTAACCAACTCATGGGTGTTTATTAGAATTCAATGGGTTAATAAATGAAGAATGTGTGGTGCATAGCCAGTACCATATAAACACTGGGTAAATAAAAATAAAGAAGTTAATGTACCACCTCTCTGCCATAAGGGGAAAAGCAACCGAGAGCTGATTCGGCTGAATTCTGAGTGTACCACTAGACTAAGAGATTCTTTTCTTAATTCATGAGAGGACTAATCCTTCCGTTCTCAGCATGTCTGTGTAGGGAAAGTTAATTTCTAGGATCAGGGGTAAAGCAGTCTGTTCAAGGGGCACAGATATGGCTGGGGTACATCCTTGTCCAAAGCTGAGATGAAATGAAACCCCTCAGAAGGACAAAGAGAGAGTGGGGCAGCAGCATACAAGAATTCATTGCCTGCATAGCTTTAGAACATGAGAGCGGCCATTCAGATTCGCCCTGAGCCCAGCTGCAGAAGCGAGATCATTGGACTACACACAGGGAAAGAATAAATTATAATAGGGGTTAATATCTACTGAGTACTGTATATGGCCAGGCATTCTTCTAAGTACTTGACGTAATTAATGCATTTAAGTCCTCACGGCAATTTCCCAAATGGGAACCCAAAAGTACAAAGGGTTTGCATCTCGGAGCGAAGACGTCACAGCTGGTAAGAAGCCAGCTGGGATTCGAAATCAAGAGCCTGTGCTCTTTATGACCAGGTTACACTGTTTCTTTATTTTTTATAATATTCAAAAGCATAATTCTTGTTGATGGTGTCCTGTTGATAGCGGATCACGCTACCACTCTCTGTCCACACCAGTCAAATCGACGCAGGGAAGTAAGTTAACCATCTTGGGTCATTCCCACCGCCACCCCCACCACTGTGCTCAGACATGCCTTGGGTTGCGTCAGGGAAGCGTTAAGGAATCTGCTCAGCCAACTCATCATGTCTATAAGCCGCTCCAATAAACTTAAATCTTAAAGAAGCGGGGCATGCAGAACGTTTTGCCAGTACATTTGTGAATGTAGGTAGAGTTCATGATATTCAGAAATGTCGGGGAATGTTACTGCGGATTCAAAATTCCAGAACAGTTTCTTGGAAATACGTGAAAGCCCACAAATACCGAGAGTTCAGCTAGCTTGAATGTAAAGTTTTAGGTGCCTGTATCTACGGAATGCATGTATGCAAAATATGGATGTAGAATGTATTCCTTTCCATATCCAGGTATAATGACTAATGTTACCCACTTAAATTCCCATGATGAAGGATTTAAGGGGCTTTAAGAATTTCCTCAACTATAAAAATAGTCTGGATTTATCTCGCAATTTTGAACGTGCCTCAAAGCTGAAATGAAGACCTTGTCATTGATTTGCTGTGGATATTCAGCAGGCCAGCCCTGTATCTGCCTGAGATAGAAAGCCAGACTTACTAGTCATTGCTATATAGAAAATTTTGTGTTAATGACAAATTTCATAATATTCCCATAGCATAATCATTGATTTTCTGAAGCTTATGCAGAATTAACAGCCCAGCCTCCAATTGTCTCCCAGAATAGGGCATGAAAAGTTCACATATTTTGTAAATTAAAATCAATATTTTCAATCTCTCCTAAAGGTAATTTTCCTAATTTAGTGGACTTTTTCCTAACATTTATTTTCTCTTTAATTATAAAATGGCAGGTTATTGATTTTCGTATATAACCTCTTGACGCCCTGAGTGGATTTTTATTGCTAACGCAGAGTGGGGGTGGGGAGAGCAGTTGCACCTCTTAATGAGGATCTTTAATTACTAGCTGAACAGTATTAATTTGCTTTGATAAATTATGACATGCACTCTCCCTCACACACACATTCCAGGGGAAGTAGTTAGAAAGCTGTTATGAAAGGTTTTCTATTTCAGGTGTTTTTACAGAATGCTCATCAAGTCATACCTGCAAGAACCCTGTCAATGTTTATCCAATACCAGTCTTCAGAAGCAGGTGTACACAGATCAGCCTATCCCACGAACATACTAAATCCTCTCCAAAGACAAATGGGTGTTTCCCTCTAAAGCTAAACAATGGTAATTATTTTTCCTACACCTAATCATCTTCAGAATCCTTGAGGTTTACTCACGAGACAAATGATAGATAAGTCAATAATATGCAAAAAAAAAAACCCAAAAAACAGGCCAGGTGTATCTCAAAGATTTTAGCCACCAACTATGGCCATTCCATTTTACAGCTTTTAAAAAAAAATTAAAGGCACCAAAGAAGTACAATATCCACAAAGAGCTGTTCCCAGTAGCATGACTCAACTCACTTAATATAATAAGAAATAATGTTTCTAAGAATCTCAATGTGGAAGTCTTAAAGGAGAGTCTTACAAATTTCTCCATCCTTGTGAGACTTCTCCTTTGCCATCTCATAAAAAATAATTTTTAAGTGCTCTCTTTTAGGCATAATCATGATACCTAGCCAACAAAACTGTTGATTGAAACTTCCTTTAATCTTCATAAAGATGCAAAACAAAATAAAAATAAATAACAGGAGGTTATACACAGTTGTCGAGCATGGTACTGACAAATGGCAAATTCATCTGTTTCTCGATTGCCAGTAAGATCGGAGCAAAGCTCTCCCACACTGTATATCACATCTGCCAACTCATTTCTATGATTAAATATTCCATCAGCGGGGCTATAAGGCTGCAAAGCTTAACAAGATTCATAAGATGCGCCACTTGAACACACATAACTCACTTCCGTGGATGGAGAACACCCCGCCTGCAAAGGGAAAATTGGAATTCAGTTAAATTACTCCACGAGTTTCCATCAATAGGGAAAGGGAAAAAAATCTACCAATACAATGCAGATCTGAGATACAGTTAGGTCCTGTTGACAAGGAACACACAATTAAAGTCAGGAGTAGAGAGATGCAGAGTAAATCAACTTTGCAAACCTTGAAAATGGTGAAGAATCAGTAGTCTGGTGACACTACTAGGATTAGCAGGTGTTTTTGTGGGGGTGCAGCGGGCGACCCTGAATGGGCTACTACTCCTGGAAATAAAAGTTTCTGGTTTCCAGAGGGGAAAGAATAAAAGACACATATTGAAGGACTGTTCGCCTGGCTACAATGTGATGTTTGAAAGGTGGTCAGGTCTTGAAACCAGGTTATCCCGGGGTTATAAGGAGACTCAGGGGAGATAATGAGTATAAAAGAACTTTATAGATGGTAAAGTTAAAATAAAAATATAAAGGTCAGTGCTGTCCCTGAAGTTGCTTCAATTGATTATACCCACGTCTGTGAAACCCGGGCCATAGACCACATGACCGGATTCCAGGCTTGGTGATGGGAAAAGTGGGTTGGAAATCTCAATATTGAGTTTGAAAATGAAAAGGAGGGATATAGCCCTCTGTGATTGCTTGTCTCAAAGGGCAGCTGTACTTGACCTTGGATTACCCGTACAAAAGTTATTGGTTTTCTATGGGCTTTGGGCCTCTGTGAACCAAGGTTCATCTAAGAATCAGGTCAGAAGAAGGCAGACATAAGTCTCCCCGCCGGCCTCACTCCCCGACTTCAGTTCACTGGGTCCGTTACAGTTAAGAAAATGACCTTTAGTCACACTTTTGTTTTGGACTTCTTTACAATTCCCTTCCTGCAGTTTGGATACAGTAGCATCTGCG